AACATGATCTTTTATAAAATAATGCCTAATGTCAATATATTTAGTTCTAGAGTGTTGAATGAGATTTTTTGTTAAATATATTGCACTAGTGTTATCACATTTTATAGGTATGTTTTTCAAGTGAATTCTATAATCTTCTAAAGTATTTTTCATCCATATAACTATTGAATCTCAGATTTTGATGATGAAATCAATTGATGTGTTTATAATCTAATCTTCATTATGAGTGATGTAGGATGAGCTTTGATCAGGAAAGACAATTAAAGTAGGAAGAATCAATGTTGGGTCAGAGTGAAACATGTCAGAAGATTGGACGTCGAGTCGGAGGATCGATCGATATATCGATAGAAGGCTTGTGCCATGAGTTCAAGCATTGGGCCTAGAAGAGCGGACATTACACCAAGGAGATCAGAGTTGCGGAGTTCAACATGTCGATTGGGCAAAAGGCCGCAAAAGAGGATGATGCGTCGAAGGATTGATTAATGCTTTGTAATAATTATCTAGATCAAAATAGTGTTAAGATGTAATTGGGTTGGAATTAAGCCAACTCAATTAGAGGGCCCATTGGGCCTGAGTTGGGACTATTTTAGGCCAAGTAGAAGGCTCATTCAGTCACCCCAAGTTAGGAGGAACCACCCATGAGCTAGAAAAGTCAAGAGCACACTTTTCCATGTTGTTAGGCGATGTTATCGCCAGACTAGGCAGTGGTACCGTCTAATGTCAAGTAGTGGTACCGCTAGTCTAGGCGATTGTACCGTCCAAACACAGTCTCCCAAGCGGTGGTACCACCCAACACAAGCGGTGGTACCGCCAGTACTCGAGAAACCCGGGATAAAACCTTTTTTGGCTCCATTTTTTAAGCCAATTGAGGTCTATAAATACCCCAGGTATTCCTGAATGGAATAACAAGAAAGTTAAGCAACACTCTGTGATCCTAAAGTTGTAAACCCAATTAGAAAGTTGAGTTCCCTCCTCCTAAAGTTTAGAGAGAGTTCTAAGGGAGATGTGTGAGGAAGAACTTATAAAAAAAGGGTGTAAATATTGTTTCCTAAACTTGTGAAAAGGAGAAAGTGTAAAAGGGTAGTTGATCTTCGCCTATTGAAAGAAGATTAGGTAGTGGAAGCTGATGGCCTCGAGTGAAGAGGAATCGGGAGCGAATGTAGGTCACAACGACCGAACCACTATAAAAATTTGATTTGCATTTATATTTTGCTATTTACTTTCATTGCAAACTGCTTGACTTTCACTACGCTTCCGTACGCTTTCAAGTTAAATATATTTCCTATATGAGCTTTGTCAAAACGTTTTTATCGAATGAGATTTCTGACTCGACATGATTTTTATCACAGTATTAATTCACCCCCCCACTTACTGTCATTCTTGATCCTAACAGTTAGTATCAGAGCCATATTATTTCTCATTTGGTTTAACACCCAAAAGAAATGACTCTTTTCGATTTTCAAGAAAGTCACTCTACATTCATCCTCCTATGTTCAATGGGACAGACTATACATATTGGAAAACTCAAATGAGAGTTTTTTTGCTTTCTTTGGATTTAAATTTATGGAGTATTGTTAAAATAGCTTTCAAAAACCCTCTAGACTAATAAACGAATGGATTGATCTAGAGAAGAAAATGTTTTCTTTAAATGCTAGAGCTATGAACGCTATATTTTTCGCCTTATACAAAAATAAATTCAATCAAGTTTCTATTTGCGAAATAGCTTACGAGATTTGGCATACTCTTGAAATCACACACAAAGGTTCTATGTATGTTTTGGATCAAAATGAAATGAATGTCATGTCAAATACGACGTTTGAGCTTCTATTTCATATTTGTTCTTTGATATATTCCGAAATGCTTCTTATGCCTCTGAAATGTTCATATTCAATCGATACGCTTTGAAATATTCTATGTGTCATTGATATGCTCTGAAACATTTCATACATTATTGATATACTCTAAAATATTTTATTTGTTATTGATATGCTCTGAAATATTTCATACGTCATTGATATGCTCCGAAATATTTCATATTCCATTGATATGTTCTGAGACATTTCGTACACTATTGATATGTTCCGTAACATTTCGTACACTATTGATATGATCTGAAATATTTCATATGTCATTGATATGCTCCAAAACATTTCATACGTCATTGATATGTTCTGAAATGTTTCATTTGTCATTTGTATGCTCCGAAATGTTTTATATATCATTGATATATTCTAAAACATTTCATACACCGTTGATATGCTCTAAAATGTTTCATATGTCATTTATATGTCATTTATATGCTTCGAAATATTTCATATGCTATTGATATGTTCTGAAACTTTTCATACGCTACTGATATACTCCGAAATATTTCATATGCCATTGATATGCTCTAAAACATTTCATACGTAATTGATATATTCCGAAATATTTCATTTGTTATTGATATGCTCCGAAATATTTTTTTCGCCATTAATATGCTCCAAAATGTTTCATATACTATTGATATTACTTCGTAACATTTCATATGCCATTGATATATCCCGAAATGCTCCTTATGTTAATGATATGCTCCAATTATTCTTTACTCCTTTGTTATGAACAAAACATGCTTTGAATAAAATGACATTGTAATTCTATATTCGATGAGTGGCTATCTATGTACTTTTGTATCCATGCCTTTTCAAAATATTTCATTTGTTATTGATATGCTCTGAAACATTTAATACGTCATTGATATGCTCTGAAATATTTTATATTCTATTGATATATTCTGAAATATTTCATACACGCTTCAAATAAAATGATATTGTAATTCTGCATTCGATGAGTGGCTCTCTATGAACTCTTGTATCCATACCTTGTATTTTGATACCTTGTTTGTTTGAAACTCTTCTCTTTTTCCATGGATATGTTAGTCGCTTGTTAAGCTTTATATTCTCACTCCGTTGTTATATATATATTTTTTGGATAGCGTGTCACTCATTAAAATATTTAAATTGGGCTAAGTAGTGGAAGGTTAGAAGACTTTAGGGCAAATCCTTAGTGAATGATTTGTTTTTGTTATATAAGTACATTTAGTGTCTAATGAAATATTGATAGAAAATCTAAACTGATGAGTTTTGTAAAAATTTAAAGGACCTCTTATGTTTATGATTTTAGAATGTTAAGTTTAATTTATATAATGATATGAATATATGGTAAATATTGATTTTGTGATTATATAGAATCCAACACTTATGGATTTATGAGGTGGCTATTGTTTTAGTGAGTTGGTTTCAGATTTTATGATTCATCGAGTGATGTGGTATATGATTTTGAACTGCAAAGATTTTATGAATTATGAAATTATAGTTGTAAATTTCAGTGAATATTTCTCAGTGTCTTTAAATGTTAGTTTGGATCCTCGAATGAATTATTGATTAAAATTTTAATATTATCGATTTAAGACAGGGTCACATCTCTTGAATGTGATAATTCAGGGGGTGATATCAGGCCTATAAGTCTAGTATCGAAGAGTGTGAAGTACTTATATAAGACATACTTAATGTTTAAAATATAAGGACCAGATACACCATTAGGACAATGAAATCGCTGTCTGACAATAAGATATCATCAATCGTCTTGCATTTCATGAGCGAATCGATTAGTGAACTCATTTTCCAATGAGCACTTGCACTATATCCCCACATGAGCAACTATGAGACCAGCTGGCTCGATTATATGGACGGGTATACAACACACCAGTCCATCCGATTATCTCGATATCCCTCTCGAGTAACTTATAATCGAGATTATTTAGGATTTGTGTTTAAAAGCAAATCGATCTCATTATCGTGATCTTATCATGATCTAATTCTCATTGTACAAATCCATGTAAATTACAATATATGCAACATGCAATATAAAGTGATAAAATGATAAATAATATAATAAGTAAAAAAAATATGTATCATGTCACACGTGCCATCATTCACATGATTGACTTGTAAGATACCTATGATTAACATATATAAAATTAATAATTTAAAAAATAATAAAATTATATTTTTATTCTATTTATTTGTAGGACACCTATGACCATCATTCATGACACCGTTGATAAAACTAATGACATAAAAAGAATTGAAGTTAAATATTTCACTTTCATACGTAAAGAGACCTCAATACTACTTTTTAAAATATAGAGATCGAAACACTAAATGTAATTAACTATAGGGATAATATGTAATTACCCCAACAATTGTCAATACACCAAATAATATTTATCATATAAAAATAACACTGGTCCCTAAAAAACCTAGAATTATATATGTCTTTCGATTCATAAAATTGATTATTATCATTTTTATAAAAAAATATTTTTAGCAATATTAGAAAAATACTGTATTGTCATACAAAACGTTATAACATTGTGTATTTATTTTCAGTAATATTAAAATAATATAACGTTTTATAAAAATAATATAATAAATTATTTTTACAATCTTATAATTTTTTTATGATTAAAAGTATTATAATATAGTGTAAAAATATTATTATTAGATTGATTCACCTTATCAATCGATCCATACATACAAAATAAAAAACAAAATAGAGAAAAGAACTAGATGGCTGAAGGTATTTCAATTATTACCCAAAAGAGAGGGTGTTGTTTGAAAATTCTAGAAACAAAAGAGGTTTCTCAAAAACAATAATATTATATTAAAATATTTTTTAGTATTATTAAAAATATTATAATATAGTATAAAAATATTATAATTAAACTGATTTATCTTATGGATTGATAAATCAGAAAAAAAATAGAGAGAAAAGAGGAAAGTGACCGAAGGTTTTTCAGTTATTAGAAAAAAGAGACTATGCCGTTTGAGAATTCTAGAAATTAGATATGCTTTTTGATAAAAATTTAAAAAGAATAATTTAAAAAAAAAATCGTCCTATGTAAAAAAGGAAATTAGGGCCTAATATAGAAAACCTGTGGAATATCTTATTTACCGGATGGGTTAGCCGGAAGAGACGCGATCGCTGAGCTCGAGTCGATCTCGAACTAGGGTTTGGGTATCTTTACTCGCCTCGCAGCGCACAAACATGTCATTCCGATGGTCTACGGTCCAAAGATGAGCAGCCTCGGTGCGAAAACCGGCAACACGGCGGGGGATGATCCGCAAGCGGAGGTCGAAGATCTACTGCGGGCCACCGAGGACGATGTCCTCCTCAAACTCCGAGTCGGCGGCCACATCGCCTCTCGCCACTTATCGTGCTCGCTGTTGGACTACGACCTGGCCCGCCGCTTCGAGGCCCTCAAGGCGCCCCCTCCGCATCCCCCATCGGCCGCGCAGCGTCGGCCTTCGGCGCCCGAACCTGTGGAAAAGGGTGAGGCCTCAGCAGCAGCGGATGACGGGAAGTGGGGAAGGGTCCTCGGGGACGACCTCGCGGCGAGATTCGCGGCACTCAAGGGCTCCTCCGGTTCCAGGGGCTCGGATCGTGGGCTGCCGAGGTCGGATCTGCTACCCGAAGGGAAGAGATCCCACGACGACGACGACGACGACAAAGAAGAGGTAGAAGATGATGATGATACTGACGAGGATGGGGTTTCGAAGAAGGAGGTGGACAAATTGTTGCAGTGGGCGATCGACGCGGCGCGTCTGGACCCTTCGAAGAGCGATGACGACGAGGAGGACGGCGGTGACGGTGGGAGCAGCGAGGATGAGGAGGATTTCGAGGTGAAGAGGAAGGTGGGGGAGGAAAGGATCAAGAACAAGCGGAAGCCGAAGAAATGGTTCTTCTTCTAGCTCTTGGATCAAGTACAAGAAGGTCTCCGGACATCCGTTTTCCATCTTCGTATGGAGCGCTTTATAGCAGTGGTTTGTTCAATGTCTGTGGATTGCAAATGCTGTTAATTTTAGGAGGGTTCTTCATTTTGAATGCCTGTTTGATGCTTTGCATAGAGAATTTGTACAAGCTCATGAAAATAAAGTCACTAGCCACTGTTTTGCTCCATAATGCCCTCATCTTTCCAATTCTTAGGCATTTCTCATGTGCAGTCTTTGCCCCATGAATTAAAAGGGAGGTCTTTATCGCTACGAGTTGTGCGTAAATTGCAGCCCGTATAGAACATATACTTTTAACACTAAGCATAGACGACGGTATCCACAGATTAATTAAAACAAATTGCTAGCAAAATTTACAGAGATGCAGAAACTTTGTGCTGATGCAAAAATGGAAACTAGACCCACCAATTTTTTAATACGACACACAAATTTAATAGTTAAAGAAGAAAACATTGGATGAAATAACCCTGCCAAGTCCCACGCTTGAACTATGATCATCATTTATTTTTCTTGCTGGTAAGCCGTCTTCGAGCTCCAAACAAAAGAATTTGATGATCTTGTTAATCCTATATGCACATGCCTATCTTCCACAGAAAAAGCCAAGGGAGTTGTGTATTGAACCAAAACCCCCGAATCCAAGAGGAGAAGATAGCGTTTGTCTTTCCTTCTTGGTTATTATTGGGAGAGGAGGGGCGGATTTGGAGTGGTGGCGGCGGTGCGCGCGCTGTGGTCCACGCAGCGGAGCACCTCCGCCCGGTTGCCGATTACCCGGTGAAACACCTCCCTCACCTGCCGCTCCAGCGGTCCCAACCCTTCCTCTAGCCTCCGGCACGCTTCCGCCAGCTCTGCCGCCCTCGCCGCCACATCCTCCGCCCGCGACGGCGGTGGCCCGCTCTCCCCCACCGCCTCCATCAGCTCCTTCCCGCACTGCTCCACTCCTTGTATCTCCGCCAGCAGCCCCGCCAACCCTTTCCGCCTACGCCACTCGTCCGTGATGCGGTCCTGCAGCCCGGCCATCGCCGCCGCCCACGGCAGGTGCTGCCGCGGCGATACCGGGCTCGACGGCGCCGCCGAGCCTCGGTCCTGGCACGGCACGGCCGCCGCCAGGACCCACATGGAGAACGACAGCACGGAACTCATCGCGTACACCGCGAGGGCCATTCCGGCGCCGCCGGCCTCGCCGCCGCGTGGGGTGGCCAGGTGGGCCGGCACGGGTGGCATCTGCCGGCCCGCGGACCAGTTCCTCGACACACTCCACGAGAGCGCCCGCATGTGGTTGCTGCTGCCGCTGGAGCGGCCGGAGGAGCCGTCATACCTCCCGGAGGCGGCGGACGGGGAGTCCGGGCCAGAGGCGAGGAGCTTGGCGAGGGCCCTGCGGGCTCGGTTGAGTTGGCCCTGGCCACAGTGGTCGGAGGGGAGGGCGGAGGCAGCGATGAGGGCGTGGCGGTGCCAGTGGCGGAGGGAGCGGAGGGCGAGGGAGACGGCGTTGCAGACGTCGAGCGACTTGACGGCGCGGTCGAGGAGGTCGGCGACGGCGCGGTCGGCGGGCGGTTTGGACAGCAGGCTGGCGTGGTTCTGGCCAAGGAGGGAGCGGAACTCCTCCTCGCACGCGATGAGGGCGTCGAGCAGCTTCGACAGGAAGGCAAGGCTGAGCGGCGGTTCACCGCCGCCGCCGACGTTGGAGGGTGGCAGGAGAGCGAGGAGGCGGTCAGCGACATGGGTTTGGAAGAGGTCGAGCTCCTGCTCCTGGCCCTGCTCCATGGACACCACCTGGGAGCGGCGCAGGCTGAGGAAGGTGCGGCCCCGGAAGGCCATGGAGAGGGGCGAGCCGCCGCCTTGGTTCTCCGGCATGGTGATCGTCATGATACAAACAGAATCGGGTGGTAATATTCGCAGACAACCAAATCGAGACGCGGAGCAATCGAGAAGGGGGATTGTTTCGAGGGAAGGAAGAAATTGGGGGACCTGCGAGAGCCACAGGAGAATTTGGTAGATTGGGTGCTTGTTGCTTGTCTCTCCATGTATGTATATCTTTTGCGGACTTAGTCAGGCGTTTGTAACAGTTGGATAGCGACATATAGAGAGAGTGTGTGTTTGGGGGCGCAAAGACTGGCTCTGCGTCGTGAGTTGGCTCGCACTCACTCCGGAACAGCTGGGCGCGTGACTACCAGGTTGGACCGGAATGGTGTAGGGACTCGGTCCGACTCGGGAATAAAAGTTTTTGAAGTCCGGATATCATCCGATTCGAATTCTATCAAATTCCATCGACGATGGAGACATTATATCTATTTACTAATAATAATTTGGTGAAGCGGTAGGATCGGAGGAGGGAGTGCCCGACGAAATCAACGGAGGACGCGTCTGAACGAATGGGATATACGCCACGCAACAGCTATGCAGATCAGTTCGTCGGTTTAAGACGGCACAAACATTGGACGGTCGGGATGACTCGTGGTCGTGGTCGTGGCCGTGGCCGGCAGCAGCGTCTTGATAGCTGCACCAAGTGTAGCTATAATATGGAAAGTGGCCCAAGAGGCGTGGAGGGGGCCCCACGAGCATAGAGTCCAAATGGGAGAGAGCACTCGTCGTTGGAAGCTGTACTCATAAAGGCCGTTTAACTCAGCCTCCAGTCAATCTACTATTACCTACATTGTACGACCTGTTTATGATTCTTCTCTGGTTGAACACGATTCAAAATACGTATCAAAGCGAAAGAATAAAAAAAAATTAATAAAATAAAAAATATGGATGATGTTAGAATTACTTTGATTTGATTTAAATTTTTCTACGTAAAAAATTTATAAGAAATCTAGATGGAATCGAGAGAATTAAGATGATCAAATACTAGGTTGATGGAATTTTTAATATGGTTTCTTGATTATTAAGGTAATAATGAAATTGTTAGGATTATATCAGTACTAAAAGGGGGGTTGAACTAGTGTCTTCGTAAGAAATGTAAGTTTGAAAATTCTCGTTCGATTAAAATCGATATCACAAAAGAGTTTAATTTGAAAGTGTTTATAATCATAGTGAATATGTAAATTAGTTTGTAATATGAATAAAAAACATAAAGCAAATACAAACTAGATTTATAGTGGTTCGGTCGTCATGACCTACATCCACTCTCGATTCCTCTTCACTCGAGGTTATCGACTTCCATTACCAATCTTTTTTCCAATAGTCAAAGATCAACTATCCTTACAATTTTTTCTTCTTTTCATAAGAAAAACCTTCACACCCCTCTTTTACAAGTATTCTCTCACACTCCTCTATTAGGACTATCTCTAAGCTTTAGGAAGAAAGGCTCTAAACTTTAAAATAGTTTATAATCTTAGAAGCACAGAGTTTTTGTTCTACTTTCTTATTGAGCCTAAATAGGAATTTATAGGGTATTTATAGACCCCAAATGACTTCAAAAATTGGAGCTAAAATTTAAATCCCTAGGTTTTTGGGGTACTAACGGTACCACCGTCAGTATTAGGCAGTACCATCGTTTGTTACTATGATACTAAACGGTACAACTACCTAGTCTAGCGGTATCATCGCTTGACACATTGATAATGGGTGGTACTACCGCTTGACACATTGACATAGTGTCACGGACTTAGCTGATTTTGCCTAAGTCGTGCGACACCCTTGCGAGTCCGTCCGCAAAGGTCAGCCTCCCCGAAGCCTCCCATTGTCCCTTAGGACCAACGAAAGAGAGAACGGGTTAGAGAGAACGCCTCAATCGTGATCCACAAGCAAACATCTCCGAAAAACACTTCATAGATAATGCAAATTACAAACAGACTTTACAAGCTCTGAACAGTTGCACAACAAAGGGTAAAATAGTCCATTACAGACCAAAAATCTCTCGCACGTGTCCACATGAAACAACCTTTATTTACAAGCCTAAAGAGGCCAACAACCCAACTAAAATGGAATTATTAAGCCTTCGGTCGCCCCTCTATATGTATATGTATACATATACATATATATATATACATATCATATATACATACATATACATATATACATATATATATACATA